TTCTGAGCCCGACAGTGAGTGAGTCTAAGTGAGAGTTAGTCTGTGTGAGAAAGTCTGAGCGTACTGAGTATGAATATGAAGGAGTCTGAGTATGAGCGAGTCTGACTGCGAATGAGTCTGAGTGCGCGTGAGTCAGAGCATGAGTGAGTCTGAGGTGTGAGTGAGTCACAGTGTGAGCGAGTCTGAGTCCGACTGAATACGAGTGGGTCTGAGTGTGAGTGAGCCACTCCGGCTGAGAAAGAGGATGAAGAGGAGGGAGTGAGAAAAGGGAGAGGAGGACTTGTGTTCGCTCGCGAAGCCGCCTTGCTAATTACTCGACGCGGAGATCTCCATATGTGCATATCATATTCCTGTCACGCTTCGCTGACGAACTCTGTCTATGAGAATCTGGGTGTGAGATCGAGTCCGCATAGGAGACAGGCGCGGCAATGACGACGACGACAGCGACGATTTATGTGGCGTCCTCCTCTTCCGGACATCTTTCAATAGAGACGAAGGAAACACGAACGGAAGAGCGAGGAGGGATTCCTCTTGCCGTTCTCCCCGGCGGCAACTCAGACATGGCGTTGCTACGCCCGCTCTCTGGCGTGATGTTCGCGGCGCATGCTGGCATTTGGGGTGGCCAAATGCCACGCCGGCTATGTCGCGGTAGCCAGTCGGGTGTGAACCTTAGTGCGAATGAGTCTGAGCGAGGGTGGTCTGAGTGGACCCGGGTACGATCGAGCCTGAGTGTGAGCGAGTCTGTGCATAGTCAGTGCGAGGACGAGTGGGTCTGGGTATGAGTGAGTATGAGTGCGAGCGAGTCTAAGTGCGAGTGGGCCTGACTGTAAGTGAGAGTGAGTGTGAGTGAGTCTGACGTTGAGTGTGACGAATACAAATATGAATACGACTGAGCCTGGGTGCGAGGTTGTCTGCACATGAGTGAGCCCGAAAGCTGGCAAGTCTGAGTGTGAGAGTGAGTATGAGTGTGAGTTGGTCTGGGTGTGGGTGAGCGAGTCTGAGTATGAGAAAGTAAGGATGTGTGAGTCCGAATGCGACCGAATACGAATACGGGTGAGTCTGAATATGCTGAGTGAGTCTGAATGAGAAAGATGTGCTGGTGAGTAAGTTCGAAAGCGAATGAGCGCGTCCGAGTGGGAGAAAGGGGAAGGAGGTGAGTGAGCGAGTGAGTGAGGGACACATAAATCCAAAGAAAAGTCTGGGGGGGGGGCAGAAACAGGCAAGCCGCCTGAAACATGCCCCCAACCTGAGCGCGAATTCCGAGGTGTCCCCACCCCTGGCGGCTCCGCCTTAGGGTGCCCAAATGCCACACCTGCTAGATCACGGTGAACACTGAACCAAAAACAGAGAAACGTCTGGGGGGGAGACAGAAACAGGCAAACCGCCTGAAACATCACCCCAATTTGAGCGCGAATCGTGGAATGTCCCCACCCCTTGTGATTCCCCCTTGGGTTGCCCAAATGCCACACCTGCTATATCGTGGTATGCATTGGGCCACAAAAGGAAATACACCTGGGCGATAGAAACAGGCAAATCGCCCGAGACATCCCCACAAGCTTGTCGCGAACCCTGGAGTGTCCCCACCCCTGGCGGCTTCCCATTGGGTTGCCCAATTGTCACACCTACTACATCGCAGTGAGCATTGGGCCACTAGTTTTTTCTTATTTGTTACCATCTACCTATATATATACACACACACACACAAAAAAAAAATTGAGGGGGGGGCAGACACACGCGAACCGCCTAAGATATCTTCACGAACTGCTCCTAGAGCGAAGGATGCTGGGCACGCAGACAAGCAAGCCGCTTGGGAGATCCCCATCATCTGGGCGCGACTCCTGGAGTGTCCTGGCCCCTGGAGGCCCTCGTTAGGAGTGCTGAAACCAGCGCCTCGCCTCCCTCCTCCCTGCTCCCTGCTCAATGCTCCATGCTCCCTGCTCCCTCCTCCCTCCTCTCCCCTCCCCTCCTCCCTCCTCCCTCCTCCCCCCTCCCTCCTCGCTTCTCCCTCCCTTCTCCTCCTCCTCCTCGTCCTCCTCCTCCTCCTCCTCCTTCTACTTCTCCTCCTCCTGCTCCGAAAGCGAAGGATTTGGGGCACGCCAACAGGCAAGCACCCTGAGACATCCCCACAATCTGGGCGCGAAGCATGGAGTGTCCTGACCCCTGGCGGCTCCCCCCCACTTTAGGAGTGCTGCAAGTGGTGCCTCGCCTGAGGCATCCTCAGAATCTGCTCCGAAAGCACCAGATGCTGAGCACGCAAACAGGCAAACCGCCTGAGACATCCCCACAATCTGGACGCGAATCCTGGAGTGTCTTGACCCCTGGCGCCCCCTCTCTGGGGTGCCCAAATGCTACGCCTACTATATCGCGGCGAGCATTGGACCACCAATGAGTATGAGTGCGCTTTGAGTCTGAGTATGAGTGGGGTATGAGTGTGTGTTAGTCTGCGTGTAAGTCCGTGTGAGTGAGTCTGAGTGTGAGTGAGCCTGAGTGTACTGAGTCAAAGTATGAACGAGTCTGAGTGTAAGCGAGTCTGACTATGAGTGAGTGTGAGTGTGAGTGAGTCAGAATATGAGTGAGACTGAGTGTGAATGAGTCTGAGTGTGAGTGAGTCTGAGCATGATTGAGTCTGAGTGCGTCTGAGTGTGAGTGCATGACTCTGGTTGGGGAAGAAAGGGAAGAGGATAAGGCGAGAAGGAAGCTTGTCCTCGGAGCCGTCGAAATAATAACAGGAACCCTACCTTCGGAGATGGGAAATAATACAAACCCCTATCTTAGGATATTGGTAACAAAATCCAACCGTCACGTTCCCCGTCCGACGATGTGGAATGCGTGGTAGGAATGGGGGGGGCGCGGGGCACGACGTGCGCAAGCGAGGGTAATGCCGTTCCTAAGCGCAGCGCAGGGTTGTCGGGTGGATGCCTGCCCGCTTGGGCGCGGCGCATGTGTTCGGCCGCCGCAGCATCGTCGAGAGCGCGGTCACGCAGGTGAGAGCAGAATGCTGATCTCACCCACGCGTCGAAGCAGCTTCCTGCTGAAGGGGTGCGCTCCCGATATGGGCACGGCGCACCGCTGTCGCTCTCCAGGTCGTCGAGAGGAGGGCCCCGCGAGAATCGGGAGCGGCAAAGAGGGGGGTGTCCAAGAGGGGGGGGGTGCAAATCATGACCGGCGGCATGTGCGCGGCCCAGCGGGGGTGCCAGGGACGTAATGAAATAAGAAGAGGCGCCATGAAATCTGGGGAAACATCATGGCCCACGCCATGATATCCACCCCCCCCTAGTCATCACCCCCCTCTTCTCCGCCCCCGAGAGAAAGCCAAATGTCGCGCTCGCATGCTTCTCCCGGAAATCGAGATCCCGCCAGGGGAAGGCGCCGGAACGGTGCCTACAGAGTGGGAGCAACGCGGCAGACGGAGCGCGCTTCGGACGCCAGGCTCAAGCCGTACTTTCTCCTCCTGCCTCGCCCCCCCTTACTCTGTTCCGTCCCTCCACTTCCTCCTCCTCCTCCTCCTCCTCCTCCTCCTCCTCGCTCCTCGCTCCTCGCTCCTCGCTCCTCCCCTCCTCCTCGCTCTCCTCCTCCTCGCTCCTCCTCCTCCTCCTCCTCCTCCTCCCCTCCTCCTCCTCCTCCTCTCCTCCTCCTCCTCCTCCTCCTCCTCCTCCTCCTCCTCCTCCTCCCTCCCCTCCTCCTCCTCCTCCTCCTCCTCCTCCTCCTCCTCCTCCTCCTCCTCCTCCTCCTCCTCTCCTCCTCCTCCTCCTCCTCCTCCTCCTCCTCCTCCTCCTCCTCCTCCTCCTCCTCCTCCTCCTCTCCTCCTCCTCCTCCTCCGCCTACCTCCTCCTCCTCCTCGCTCCTCGCTCCTCCTCGCTCCTCCTCGCTCCTCCTCGCTCCTCCTCGTCCTCCTCGCCTCCTCGCTCTCCCGCTCCTCCTCGCTCCTCCTCGCTCCTCCTCGCTCCCCTCCTCCTCCTCTCCTCCTCCTCCTCCTCCTCCTCCTCCTCCTCCTCCTCCTCCTCCTCCTCCTCCTCCTCTTCACTCCTCCTCCTCCTCCTCCTCTCCTCCTCCTCCCCTCCTCCGCCTCCTCCTCCTCCTCCTCCTCCTCTCCTCCTCTCCCCCTCCTCCTCCTCCTCCTCCGCCTCCTCCTCCTCCTCTCCTCCTCCTCCTCCTCGCTCCTCCTCGCTCCTCCTCGCTCCTCCTCCTCCTCTCCTCCTCCTCCTCTCTCCTCCCTCCTCCTCCTCCTCCTCCTCCTCCTCCTCCTCATCCCTCCTCCTCCTCCTCCTCCTCCTCCTCCTCCTCCTCCATCCTCTCCTCCTCCTCCTCCTCTCCTCCTCCTCCGCCTCCTCCTCCTCCTCCTCCTCCTCCTCCTCCCTCCTCCTCCTCCTCCTCCTCCTCGCTCCTCGCTCCTCGCTCCTCGCTCCTCGCTCCTCCTCCTCCTCCTCCTCCTCGCTCCTCGCTCCTCCTCCTCGCCTCCTCCTCCTCGCTCCTCCTCGCTCCTCCTCCTCCTCGCTCCTCCTCCTCCTCCACCATGCTGCCCATGGCAGGCCACGGGTGCCTCCGCCCCGACCCTGGCCGAGCTGCGCGCCGCCGGCGCCGAGGCAGCTCGAGACCCACGCCATTCTGCGTGCGCCCGCGGGCGGGTCGCCCCGGGCGCTGTGCGGCAGATCGGCCCAGCGCCGCCCCGGCGACTCTTGAAGGGGCCCCAGGACACACAAATGAATGCTCACAACAAGAAAGATTCCCCAGATTTCCCCATGTTTTCGGGGTTTTTGCCTTCCCCCCCACTTCCCATATTTTCCCACATTTCCTAAGAATCGACGAGCAATTGTGTCTGTGTGTTGTTTCCTCTCCCGAACTCTGCCGGACAGCTCCGCGGGCCCCAGCGGTCCCAGACCTCGGCGGGGCCCGCCGGAGCGCCTGCTGGCCGCCCACCGAGCTCCTGCCTCTGCCCGCCCGGGCCGCGTCTTCGCCCTCCTGCTCGCCTGCTGCGGCTCGGAGTCGATTCGCCCAAGGGCTCACGCCCTGATCGCCACCGACTCCTGCCGCCCGCGGCAGACGTGGAGGGCAGAGGGCCAGCATCTGCACCGGTGCACCGAGCGAGCAGGCGAGCTACCGAAAAGCTCAGGGCGAGTGCATGGCGACTGCGAGCCCCAGCGAGCCTGCTCCCAAAACGTGGGCGAGGAGTTCTGTCTGATACTGCAGCCTCAAGTGTGTGGCCCCGTCGTGCCAAGACTGGCTCTTGACTCCGACATGGTAGCTCCAGCATGTCGAGACTGAGCGTTCCCCCTTTGCGCATCTCCCTTCCCAGCTTGCCTGTGGGTCACTAGCCCCCCTGACTATGTGAACCCTCCTCCTCCTCCTCCTCCTCCTGCTCCTCCTCCTCCTCGCTCCTCCTCCACTGCCTCCTCACTCCTCCTCCTCCTCCTCCTCCTCCTCCTCCTCCTCCTCCTCCTGCTCCTCCTCCTCCTCCTCCTCCTCCTCCTCCTCTGCCTGCTCCTCCTCCTACATCTTCTGCTCGAAATCCCTTGAAAACGACTTGGGCACAAACGATTTGCCCGATCGAAAGACGACAGAAACCACGCTGACGAACAGAGTCGCAGTGGACAGCAAGCGACCATCTTGGCTCCGACACGAAAATCCTGGTGTCAATAACAAATGGTCTCAGTGCTGGAATGATCGTATGTCCGTGTTCTGTGCGACACGCTCAGCGCCCCAGTGCGTCCGAGCATACTCAAGTCAATCATCGACCATACGCATAAGCCCGTGCGCCGCATGAGCGTGTGCGAAACCCGAGGGGACGAGTCAAGCTCGCACGCTCGCCCGCAATGCTGCCTCACGCGCAGCAGCGAAGGCAAAAGGCTCGTCAGGAACGCTCGACGGTGCGTGCCGCGCCTCCATGGCCCGCTTCTCGTTGTGTGCGGCGAAGGCCTGCAACTCCTGGAGGTACCTGTGGGGAACTGCACCGCGACCAGCTTACAGTGACGACGACGCCTGTCGCGAAACTGACGCTGCCACAGTGGAGCCCCGACCCGCGGCTGCAGCCCACGGGCAGGAGACCGCCTTCCCCAGACGGCGCTCGCACCAGGGGCTCTTGCTCGCACCTCTGCGTGATCGGACGGGCGTGTCGGGGTCTTCTTTGGCGACTGGCTGGTAGCCCGTCGTGGGCACCTCGTGGGCGCACCGTCCGCCGCGTGGAGGAGGAGGAGGAGGAGGAGGAGGAGGAGGAGGAGAAGGAACGAGGTCGAGGCCAAGGAAGGAGGAGGGGGAGGAGGAGGAGGAGGGGGAGAGGAGGAGGAGGAGGAGGAGGAGGAGGAGAGGAGGAGGGAGGAGGAGGAGGAGAGGAGGAGGACGAGGAGGAGAGGAGGAGGAGGAGGATGCCGAGGTTTCGCGGGGGGCCCGCCCGTGGCCGCCCCGCGGCGCCTTCGTGGGCGCCCTCGCGGCCGCCCGCGGCCGCCGCTCGTGGGCGCCGCGCGGGCGCCCCGTGGGGCGGCCGCGAAGCTTGGCACCGCCTGGCCTGCGCCGCACGGCGTGCACCAGGCAGGTGGCACCGCGCGGCTCGCATCGCACAGCGTTTGCCACACAGCTTGTGGGAAAACAACACACGTGGGAAAAAACACACACACACACACACAACACACACACACACACACACACACACACACACACACACACACACACACACGCACACACACACACACACACAAAACACACACACACACACACACACACACACGTGGGAAAACACACACACACAAACACACACACACACACACTACGCACAGAAAACACACACGTGTGTGAAAAAACACACGTGTGTTGTTTTCCCACGTGTGCGTTTTCCCCCCACATAGCTCACACCGCCGACGTTCCACCACGTGAGCCTGCGCCGCAGAGGCTGCACCACAGAGCCTGCAGAACCCAGCTTGCACCGCATGGTCCGCGCCACGCAGCTCACACCACACACCGTATCGCTTCCATCACACAGCTTGCACCACCTATATATATATATGTACATATACATACATACATACATACATACATACATACATACATACATACATACATACATGCATGCATACATACATACATACATACATACATACATACATACATACATGTGTATATATATAATATATATACCTATAGTGCAGCGCAGGGCGTACACCACGTAATGTTCATCACCTATGTTACACCTTGCACCACATACTACCTTACACCACATAGCTTGCACCCCACGGCATGCACAGCAAAGCGTGCGCAGCATAGATTGCACAGTCTGGCTTGCACCGCAGATAGCCAACCCCGTACTCACACATCCACAATACAATACCGTAATGTGTGCGGCCCACGCTGGCGAACAGGTCACTACTGAACATGTGCGGCAGGCTCGCAGTAGGGCGACATGAACACAATCCACGGGTCAGCTGGAGGGTAAGCCTAGGGCGGGTTACTAAGCAGGCCGAGGCCGAGAGGAAGGCCCGAGGATACCTGGAAGGCGAACCGAACGGTCAGCTGAAGGACACTGTGACCCTACTGGTAAGTAACCCGCTTCTGCAACACAATGGGTTAGTCGGGCTACCTCGCTGGGCACGCTTGAAGCCTGGACGGGTTGCCCCAAACCCGACTTCGAATGACGAGTGACCAACGCTGCAGAAATTTCGACTGCTCGCAGGGAGAATACGCTGCTGTCATAACGTCATAACTCCTCCTCCTCCTCCCCCTCCTCCTCATCCTCATCATCATCTTCACCATCAGCATCACCATCAGCATAATCATCATCATAGTCATCATCCTCATCAGCAGCAGCATCATCATCACCATCAGCATCATCATCGTCATCAGCATCGTCGTCATCATCGTCATCATCATCATCATCATAATCATCATCAGCATCATCATCATCACCATCAGCATCACCACCATCACGACCACCACCACCACCATCATCATCGTCATCATCATCAGCATCATCATCATACTCCTCACCCTCCTCGTGCACGGGGTCCAGCTCTGAGGGTGCCAAACATGGGTGCGGGTTCCTGCATCCACGATCCCGCCTGTCCGCCGCCAGCCACGCCGCGCAGGGCGACTCTACCCAACTGATGCCCACTCATATGCCACAGGCATCCCCTGGAGAACGAAGAGGAGGGATGAGGGAATGATTGGTCTCCTCTTCCTCACCATCATCCGCTGATCGGATGTCTCACATAGACTTCCTTCAACTTGCTTATCCTTGCTGAGCTGAGGCGTGCGCACAGCCAGTCAGACATGTAAACGTGTCGTGGGGCGAATTGCCACCATGCAATCAAGATTGAATTGAGCCATCAGTTTCGAAACCGATGCGCTGGTGACGAACCAAGGCGTACTCCGTTCACATCACCTCTCCAAACACCCAGCTCAATGCAAGAGTCGGTGCTTCACACAACCCATCAGATATAGCATCGTACATTCGACCGTATATACTACAAACGACAACCCGTTAGCCTACCAATCGATCGAACAGCATGGTCCATGGTGTGCAACAGCCTGCGGCACAACGAAACAGCAGCATGAACTGCTACGAAGCTCACCGCATGGCAATGTGTACCGTCAGGCATGCATGACGCCGCGATGGCATATGCAACCTGCGGACGGATGCACTACCTGGTCTGCCGTCGCTGCTGCTGCTGCAGAGGACGCAGAACATCGTCTGCTCGACACTGTTGTTCCACAAATGAACCATGCAAACCCGAGATCAAACATGGATGCGAGGGTACGGGGTGTACTGCTTTGCGCGGATGCCGCGGAAGGGTCCTGGGCTACTCTGCGATGGTGACCTGCACAAAAGCGGGATAGAGCTGAAACGACCCCCCCGCCCGCTGACCTCGCTCTCCCCCACACATCCCTGCATCCCTCTCCCTCAGCATCCTTGTCATCCTTCGCGTCATCATCATCACGTTCTTCCTGACCTCCCCGTGCCCCGACAGTCACAACAATGATACAGCGCAATTAGATTAGAACTCAGTTTGTTCGCTAAACATAACATCTCAACATCCACACGGCTCCTCAGCAAGCGCCAAGGCGCACCTCACTCGCGCATGTGGCATTTCTTATAGTTGTACTGTGTCTCCCCTCGCACCCCCGACTGCGGTGACCCTGGATCGGGCCAACCTTCCAAGGAAGCAGCTGTCGATGCGAAGAATCGCAAAAACTCTCCCACCTTCCTTCACCCTCTGGAACTACCATATCCCGGTACATGGCGGGTGGTACTCCGATGCAACCATCGCTCAAGTCGTTCAAAGAGACAGGACGTGTTCAGGCACATCTTTCACAAGTCGATCTGCAACGCCTCGGGACCACCAGCTGTCGCTGCCAGAAGGATTTGCACCAACAAGGAAGGGGGGTTATGTTTAAAGGGCTCGTAGCTAGCGGAGATTTCCAGAGTCTCGACTGCAAATTCAGTGAGGCACACGCTGGGTTCCGAGGCGCGGATTGGGATACGCAACAATGAGCAAAGACGATAAGCCAACCGTTTTCTAAAATCAAGAACACACGCGCAGACGCAGACTCAAGGGTCGCCAGATACACGTCGCTATCCTCAAACATAGGCGGTCACCGAGGCTGAGGACGCGAATACCATGCTCGACCACTTGAACTCGATACGTATGCACGGCGACGCCTTGGAACGTTTCCTGATTGACTCGTCCTCCTTGTCCTCATCCCTCCTCCTCCCCCTCCTCCCTCCTGCTCCTCCTCCTCCTCCTCCTCCTCCTCCTCCTCCTCCTCCTCCTCCCTCCACCTCCTCCTCCCCTCCCTCTCCTCCTCCTCCTCCTCCGCCTCCTCCACCTCCGCCTCCTCCTCCCTCCCTCCTCCCCCCCTCCCTCCCCCCTCCCTCCCCTCCCCCCCTCCGCCGGTCGCCCCCCGCAGGTCGGCGCGGGGCCTCGGCTCCGCGGAGCGGGCGCGCCCGGGGCGCGGCCCGCGCGGCAGACCGCACGGCGGGGCGCACCGCGGCGGCGGCGGCCCGGGCAGCTGGGGGGCGCCCGCGGGGCGCAGGGGCGGGGCCAGGACGGAGGCGGGCGCGTCCCCCCCCCCCCATACAGGAGGAACACTCAAAAGAATAATCAAGACATGGTC